TCGTCAGCTGTATGTACCTGCATCTCAGAGTTGGTGTTCGCTCTGGGACTCAAACTCAGACTGAGCATTTGCAGTCCTAAACATCAATCGGAAGATTCAAATAAAAACAATACCAAGTGAATTTAGATTATCACTATTGCCTAATTGAAGTTGAAAATATGGAAATTTAATTTTTAATTCAATAAACTAAATATAACGAACTATTTAATAGAACAAGTGATCGGTTCGAACTCCAGTGTGATTTTAAGTAAGTACTGTTTATGAAACCCAGTCCAGAAGAGAACAGTTGTTCAGTTCTTTCTGATTTTCAGCAATCTATTTTAGCTGCACCCAAATGCCCTGGTACGGCCGAGGGTGGGGGGGAGCAAGCTCTTCCTCTTGAAATACTCTCAAATGGCCACGCGTTTACAGCCACTGCCAGGGAAGTCCTACTCACTGCCTTCTCATGGCAGGGGTGTTGTTTACGAAATTGAAAGGACGAAAAGCGAATGTCCGGCGTTTTGGCCGGGTTGGTGGACACGGAGAGTCCACGAAGGGGAGTTGGAACACCCGGATTCCAAACCAATGGTGCTCATGGGATCCAGTGTCCTAAAGGAACAAATGGCGTATGAACCAACCGTTGGTCGCCGGCTACCATCTTCTTACGATGCTCCTCTGCCTTGTATATTGGTGCCCCCTTGTACCAGTATTTATGTGTTAAAATAAATAAATAGATATTTTAGCTAACATTAGTCTGTCAAGAAAACTTCCTGTTTTTGGATTTATTTATCAATGTCAAAAAGAATCACTTATTTGTCTTTTCTTAGTATACATATTGTAAATTCAAATAATGTAATGTTAATCATAAAGTATTGTATAAGTGGGGTTCTTCTCGGTTCGACGTTCTTAGGATTATTCCATATCATCTAATGAATCTTGTACATTCGCCAGACATTTAACAACAGTGGAGTATAGACAATTCATAATCTATCTGGCTTAAAAAGTTGAATAAATGCCAGTTATCTCAAAGTGAGATTGCATTTTTTGCAGAAAAACCAAAGATTATATTAAAAAGAAGCTTGTACAAATCTACTCTGTTCTTTTTATTCAGACGCGTTTTTAAATTGTTATTTACTGTTCAACTAATCTTATTTGTGCAACTTATAATTAATCTGTGTCGGATGTGAGACAGTTATCCATCTCAGACAATTGAGGGTTGCATAAGATCATAGATCAATTGAAGTTAGACTGTAGTGGCTGTGCTTCGATAACTAATCGCCCCCGAACCGTTATCGTATTATCTTCAACGGTGTTTGAGATCAGAAGGCAAAAAGAAGCAGCTACTACAGTTTATTTAGCAGATAATTCGGACCAGACAGCAGAGAAGCAAAATGAATGAGCAAGTGAACTACGATTGTAGCAGTAGCAGTAGTAGTAGTGAATGGGTGCAAATGTACACATATATATATATATATATATATATATATATATATATATATATATATACGTATATAGGAAAATGGATGAGTCAGCGAATAGATTAAGCAGTTAATAATGAAGCTAGCAGAATGAATACATGCGTAGGCGCTAAACAATGTTCAAGCATATGTATTTCATACAAGCACAATAATAATAACAGTACAACAAGTTGTTATAGCATGGATGACTTTGTCCATTAAATAGGTCAACAAAAGAACTTGACTGAACTAAACTCAATTGCACGTGAGTCGCTATAAGACATTAACACAGTTGGATGCTGTGTCAGTGGTTTAAAGGTTAAACGTTCACGCAAGACCTAAAATACTGGGTTCAAGTCCCTTTTGCGAGATCTTGGATGCATACTGCTACATAGTCCCATACTAGGACGAAATGGATGTCCAATTTCTTCCAGGTTTTCAATAGTGATCTAGCTTAGATCGATTCATGAATTCCTTCCCGTAAATATAGTACCTTAAAATGTACCTTTACATCAATAAATCAATATAACTCATATATTTTATCAGTTAAAATAAACACGCAAAGTAAGTATGAATACTTCTTTCAATATTATCTAGATTCTTCCATCTTATTTCAAATGAAAAGTCTCTTTGTTACATAGATTGATACTATTATTGTTTTTAAAGGGAAAGCATCAGTCCTCATCATAATTATACAATCGGTATATTCATCGTTTTTATTCATTTATGGGAAACAATAAGTAAACTATCACCTATTTGTATGTGGATAATTAGTTAGGAATCAATTAGTCGAATAATGATGAATTGAATTGATGAATTGAATAATAATGATCACTAAGTAGTGACCAGCTTGTTTGATAGAATTAGATCATCTACAAGAGATCAGTCGCAGCTCACTCTATGATAACATCTATAACTAGAAATCATGGTGATACAAGATCAAATCTGTTAGGGAGCATGATTGATCTCACGACTACAGATTTATAATACTGACGAGTACTAGATAGTATGAAACTTTTATATACGCAATCATATAGACTATCTTTGAGAAGCATCTTGAGTTACATTAAATTCATTTGTAAACTATACAATTTTTGTTATTTTTACTATTTGAGATGTGTATTATTAAAGCGATCGTCCTGTTATTATAAAAGAAGGTACTCGAGTTCGGTTAGTTTAAGGTCTTTAAACTTAATTAACATTTGGTTTATACTTTGAGAGTACAAAAAATTAGATATGATGAATACAAATACAAAAACGTGAAAATTAAGAAATGACTATCTTGAAAATCAATAAATCTGCGAATTTTCCTAGCTTTTAAATCATGAAACTAGTCTTAGTTAGAATACCGTTAAAAATTTGGAAATACTGACAAGGCATATTTTTTATCCTAGTGTTGAGATATTCTGAAAAATATCCGAAAAATTATCTTGTTAAGTCTAATACTATCCTTGGACTTATCTGGTTGGGCTAGTCGGAAAACAGGGTCAATCAGACTCTAGGCTGCTCATACGTATTTTACGCGTCCTTGATCAGATTGATAATTCACTGCTCCATAATCAGAGGTCACAATTTATAACAACTAGTATGAAGCTTCTTACCAGCATCCATTGAACTCAGAATCTTCAGCTTCATGCTCAAATTCCTAATCTCTAAACTACCGAACAGTTATACAACAGTGAATCCAAATATCTTGCAATATAATGAAAGAATAAAAGATGATCGTAAATAAATAATTTCATATTTTATTCTGCTTTATAGTACCGATCTCTATGAAACATTTCCGACCTGACTTATATATGTCAACAATGAAAATGCTCAAAGTTCATCTTTGCCATTATGAATAGGGTTGTAATGAAATAATTTTATTTTTATGCAGTCTTATTAATGCTCACAACCTAATGTTCTTTGTGTTCTAATTATGTCAGTTAATTATGTGGTCATTTAGTATTTTCAGTATGATTATCTAATCCTTTGTTTATTTATTCATTTAATCTACTTCCTACTATTACTGTTATTATTATTATTACTATTATCATTAGTAGTAGCATAGTGAACGAAAACACCATCGAGGAAAACTAGACGTATTTGAAGAGGAAATTACAGAATATCTTGATAAAATCTGAGAACCATAAAGTAAATAATTCATTTGCAAAGTATTTATTGACTGTCTCACACTTCGATAATCTTTCATTTTCATATCAATCACTTACTGTTCTCGTTCTTTTCTCATTATTCTTCTCAACCTTCTGCCCCCGGAAATCCCTTTCTCGATTAGTGATACATACTACTTATATATGTTGACATTACTAACTCGCAGCACAGTAGTAGTAGTAGTAGTAGTAGTAGTAGTAGTAGTAGTAGTAGTAATAGTAGTAACAATAGTCTTACCATCACTACTATACATGACTATCTTTGCAATATATGAACACCTTCCAATTTTAACTATATTTAATACTATGTATTACTACCTGTTCTTCTTATAACTAATTATTGTTGGCTTCCGAACATATCTCGGATGTTTTTTTATTTCTAACAATCCTATATCATATAATTTTAGACCGTTTGTCAGTTAGTCAGCTGCAACGTAGGACCAGGCACATATGTACATCGGTTCAATTTTTTATACCTCTTTAGCACAACAAGTTGAACACCGGATTCATAGGAATAGTTAAGTCAATGGTGGTAATATATAAAAGAAAGATTGCATGTAAGGAATAAGTACAGGAAGAAAGAATTAATTGGTAGAAAGAAAGACATACAGCAATTTCGATCTCTTAGTTTAAGGGAAGACAGCGAGTGTATACACCTACTCCATTGTGGTCGATTCTGAGCCATGTCACCAAGAGTCTCTAACCATTGGTTCCTATAGTCACGTTGACTCCCAACGAAGTAGTCTGCATCTCCCAACATGGCTCAGATCAGAACTTAGTGACTTCAAGCACTGATGCCACGTTTTGGTTTGGCCGCCTTTAACTTTCTTCTAACCATCCCCAAACACTAGTTAGACTTTCGCATCGTTGTAATCGGTGATCAATCATACATTTGTACTTAATAAGAATCCTCAAAATGGAACAAATCAATTTCCTTTGTCTTGTCTTACCTTGTCTAAATATACTTCAAATTATAATAATGAAATAACAATTTTATTATTTACTGGATTGTTCAATTTAATCATTCAATATTCAACAATTTATTAAATCAATTTTATAAACAAATACAATTCATTGACAATCATATACATTCAACAGACCGAGCTATTTGTAATGATAATAATAATAATAATAATAATAATAATAATAATAATGGTAATCATAGTAATAGTAATAACAATGTAAAGATCAACATGAAAGAAAAGAAATTACCGAGTTATATATTCGGCCTAGATAATTCGCCCAATATGAAATGAGTCTATAAATGTTTTTCTTTCATTAATTTTATTTATTTATTGATTGTCTAGACTACTTATTCAATATTATTTTTAAATAAACAATTAACTACTATATAAACCCTAAAATAATTCTATTCACATACCATTCATCAGTTAATTGTAATGGTAGATTTATGGATCAAGGTACGAATTTTTATGATTATTATTATTATTATTATTACATACTTCAATTATTCATAAAATCTCAATGGACGTATCTGAAGCACACTTAACATTTTGCCTGATCATCTAATCTAAGCTGTTTCTCAAGTTTAAATTCATTTATTGAAATTAAATGAATAGATTCTTCTTCTTCTTCTTCTTTTTCTTCCTCTTCTTCTTCTTCTTCAACTACTACTACTACTACTACTACTACTACTACTACTACTACCACCACCACTACTTCTATTACTACTTCTACAACTACTACTACTACGACTTGTTCTTGCTCTAATTCTTGTTTAATGTCTCACATTAAATTGTCGCCTAAATGCTTTGAAACTATTCGATTAAATTTTAGACGAAAGTTCTTATTTATTATAATACAATCGTATCATACAATCTATTTATTTATTTATTTTTAGTTATTGATTACAACATTATGTTTACAAATCATCCCTTGTAAATTTGAGATTGATGTTCAAGTGAAGGGTGAGTTTTCTCTATTTTTTTCTTTCTTTCGGTTTTTCTCTTTTTTTTTAGAAAAAAAAACAAAAAAGTCCAATGTTATTAAATTGATGATTGATAATTGAATTGTGTGTGTGTGTGTGTGTGTGTGTGTGTGTGGAAATTCACTAATAAATGAATAAGTTTAGTGAATAGAAAGTTATTATATATTACGAATGTATTTTATAAATAATAACATGAGTGAAAATGTTTACTAAAGGAAATATATAAATACTCAACTTAGTTTTAGATAAAATTAATAGACTACTACTAATACTACTTATTATTATGATTATTATTGGCTTTATTCATTATTACATTTTGAATACAATATAGAATTCTTAGTACAGAGTATTTCAACAAGTTTCTCATTTCTTTATTTCTTAATCGATTCTGACGATAAATATTGAATAATTGGCAATTCGATGTTAATAGTTCAGGAATTGATATTTAAATAGTGTACATTGTTTTTTTGCTGTATATTACCAGCAATTAATCACGATATCTTTGATTGGACTCTTTTGTAACTTATAAAGCAAAGGGTCGTATGCTTTTCATTAGCATACTTCAATAGGTTATGTGATTTATAAACATAATGATGTGATAAAACAAAATAAAATTAGATTCCAACTCAATGGTCTAATGGTTAAGCGACTGATAGGTCCTGGGTTCGGATCTCGTGGCAGGCGGGATCGTGGATGTGCAGTGCTGAAGAGTCCTACAATAGGACAAAACGGCTTTCCAGTGTTTACACGTTTGCCGTGATAGTCTAGCTTCAACTGACTCATGATTTCAACTATTGAAATTACTAAAATCTGCACAAAACCCCTTCTGATACATTCTTTTACTCATTGTGATTTTTGACCAACATTACTTCTGTTGTAATTCATTATGATAATTGCTCAATGTAATATTTGTTTTGTTTTCCAGTGTGATATTTTATTCTGTATAACATTTATTTATTTGAGTGTGATGTCTGTTAAAGATACGATATTCTTGTATTGACTTAACATGAACTATGCTCAGCATGATGTGTAGCATGTGTTCTTACTCGCATTGCAGAAACTGCAGTGGTTCCTCGTTGTTCAAAGTATAAGAATAAGAGATAGGTCTTGAGTTCGAATCCCGCGAGCTGGATCTTGGATGCGTACTCTCACCAGCATTTTTCATCCAACTCTATCTTGGGCATCTGAGAATCGTAAACATGAACTATACATTCTGTTGATAGTAGTGACCTAAATTATTATATAATGAGTTTTTTTAATCGTCTTTTCGTCATTCTGTTTATTAAACTGTATGCAGCGAATCTAAAAACTTTAATGTTTATTTCAACTAATCATCGTATACTTTAAGAATTTGTTTTATTTTTAAAGATAATACAACAGCATTATCCAATATATCATCGAATGTAACAGCGATTGCCAATCCAATAAAATCACTTTCACTCCATCTATGTCCATCTGCAAGAGCAGCTAACAATTCTGGAATTAATTCAAGTAAGTTTAACTTATTTTGTTTAAAATTCCATTCTATAGCTGAATAATGAAGTGAATTTTATTGTTGTTGTTGACAATTTCATTAAATTAAGCTTTACAGTAGTATTTACATTTAAGTTTACTTGCTAAAATAGTAGTCTATGGTTAAAATAGAATGGTGTCGGATAATTTTCTTAAGGATTTTTAAGGAATTATAGAAGTTTAAATTCACTTGATATTGTTTAATTGAATCATCAGTAGCTGAGTATATAACTCGATGGCGTTTGAAGTGAACGGTACTGGGTTCGAGTCCTAGAGTGAACACCAACTCTGAGATGTAGGTACATCCTGCTGACGAGTCCTAAATAGGTTGAAGAGCGCGTCCTGGATTCCACTGCTAGCCACTATCCATCTTTGCTTATATTGATTATAGAAGTTAGTTAAAAGTTCAGTCTTTGAACACCTGGTTAATTCGATTTATTCAGCTTCATCAGAAGCCTCCTTTAAAATCGGAAGAGTTGGCTCAAAAGGAATGCAAATGAAAAACTTATATACAGCAGAGGCTATTACTATCCATTGCGTCTAGAAACAGTATGCTTAATTTCTGATTCTTCCATTGTCTTAAACTTTCTACCTTCCATAATCTGTGGATTTTCTAAATTTTTGTTTCTAACTCTTTCCACTTATTTTCACAACTAGTAATGAGCCATTATTACAACTTTTACGTATTCTGTTCTTAACAGCTATCACAGCCGATCATTACATAACTTCCTTGCGATATCTAAGTTTCAAATACTGACACTATACAATTCAAGTTGTTTTGAATTATTCAACACCATTCTATTTTACTATGGACTAAAATTTTAGCTTAAATGAATGAGATCACTGAAAAGGAAGTTTTCTTCGCTGAATTGTTCTTCGTTCTGCTTCAATAAAATTATGGGTTTCTTTATTTAAAAATTTAATTAATTTCTGTGGAATCTTGATTACACCAGCAATTGGTCTAGGATATGTTCAATTCCTCATAGTATACTTTAGTTAGTAAACTTATTAACAGAAATCAAGTTAACAAAAGTAGAGTAAGATCACTAGTAGTTCATAAAACAAGAGTTACTTGTTTACTCACGCCTGTTACTCCTCATGAAGGAGCAAAGGCCGCCTAATAGAATTCTACATTCCTTTCTAGTTCTTTCCACTTGCTATTCATCCTTTTCATGTTTGCTTCCAATTACCGACGTAATATGTTCTTCGACCTTCCACTTTTCAGTTCACCTTCAGGATTCCATGTTAGGGCTTGCCTCATGATTTAGTTCGGTGATTTCCATAATGTATGTCCCATCCAATTCCAATGTCTTTCCCTAATTTCCTCTTCAAATGGGAGCTGGTTTATCCTCTTCCACAGTGAGGTGTTGCTGGTGGTATCCGGCAAACAAACATTGAGTATCTTCTGTAGACAATTGTTTATAAATTTCTTAAGATCACAAATCTTAATATCCATTTATTCGTTACTCTCATTCTGTCCTTTCAAACCATGTACTCAATATTCAGTCTTCTTTATTCTCAGTCCCATATCATTATTCTGATCCCTTTACTATTTATCTTCTTAATTTCATTTTGTCGTGCTAATGTAGTTTGACAGGTTGGACTGACGTATCAAGTTTCATGTTGTTTATGACTAACTGAGAAACAACTCTAAATAATTTAGGCATAAATTTGAAGAAAAAAGATTGAATAACATACTAAACGAAATCAAACTCTTATAATCTACCTGTACACTAATTCTTAGATAGTTGATACTAATCAACATCTGCTCACTAGTGACTGGTTTCAAGAGGTATATCCTGGAGTTCTAGTGAGGAGCAGTGAACAGTGGAGTTCAACCGGATCAGTTGTGAGATAGTAATTCATTGATGACAATGGTTGATGTGTGGCTCAATTTCATGGATTAGTTGAAGTTACACACTAACACCGTTGGATGCCGGCCAGCTTAATGGTCTAGAGGTTAAGCACTAGCAGGTAGGTCCTGTGCTCAAATCCTGCAAGGCGGGGTTGTGAATGAGCGCTGCTGAAAAGTCCTATACTAGAACAAAATGCCCGTTCAGTTCTTCCAGGTTTTCCATGGTAGTCTGGCTTCAATTGACTCTTGATCTCAACTATTGAAATTACTAAAACCTCCACAGAACCCCTTCTGATACTAATTCTTAGACAATTTGAGATTGAATTCATTTAACTATAATTAATCTATTCATATTGACAACAGTTAAATAACTAATTAATTAATCATTTAGAATATTCAGTTGTTCTGTTAAAACAGGATGTTTTCAAAATCAATAAAATTGATTTTCATAGAACATCTTAAGAAGAGTCTGAGATAAATTACATTTATTGATTTTACAGTCAACGCTTGTTTTTTTTGAGGATAAACTAAACAATACGGTAAAATTCACTTGGTATTGTTTTTACTTGGATCTTCACATTGATGTTTTAGGATTGAAATCGATCAGTCTCTTATTGGCATATATGCGTATGCCTCGATATTGCCTTAATTTACAAGCATTATGAGCAAAGATGGATAGTGGCTAGCAGTGGAATCCAGGACGCGCGTTTCGTCTTGTTTGGTACTCGTCAGCTGGATGTACCTCCACCTCAGAGTTGATGTTCACTCTGAGACTCGAACTCAATACCGTTCACTTCAAACGCCATCGCGTTATCCATTTAGCTACTGAGTCCTGATAGTCACTTACTTGTGCAATGGGGTGAAGTTTAATTCGGTAAAATGTTTAACTGATTATCATTATTTTTTATCTTCTTTATAGTTTCTATTAATAAATTGATTCCATTTAACTTATAATTCATTTAAATATACTAAGATCCATTATTATTAATATTATTATTATTATTATTATTATTATTATTATTATTATTATTATTATTATTATTATTACAATTTCAGCTGGACTTCAAAACAATAGTGAAATTACTCATCATATACCTATTGCACAATTAATTCCACCAAGTCATGAATTAAAGTCTATATCTATTAATTTCGATGCAAAAATTGTGCCTCCTATGACCAATTTGTTGAATGCACATAGATTTGCAAATCTTTCTCCATTTTCGTTTCTTTCTCCCAGTCCATGTCGTCCCATAATATCTTCATATCCAGTGTTGTCTATTCCGACTTTGGCATTTAGATCTCCCATCAGAATAGTTAGGTCCTTTCTTGGGCATTTCTCAATGATTGACTGCAGCCGCTCGTAGAACTGATCTTTAATTTCGTCGTTGCTATCATTGGTGGGTGCATAACATTGGATAATATTCATTAAGATCCCCTCCTTCTTTGTTTTGAATGATGCTTTGATGATTCTGGATCCGTGAGATTCCCATCCTACAAGTGCATTTCGTGCTACTTTGGACAGCATAAGAGCGACTCCCTGAGTGTGTGGAGCATTGTCCTCTTCGTGACCGGAGTATAGCAGCATCTCTCCCGTAGCTAGCCTTTTCTGTCCAGCTTGGGTCCAGTGGGTTTCGCTGATTCCCAGTACTGCTAAGTTGTATCTCCTCATTTCCATTGATATTTGACTGGTCTTCCCGGTTTCCCACATTGTTCGAACGTTCCATGTACCTATAAAAATTTTTGCTCTGGTTGTTAGAAGGGGCATCGGCCTCGTGGCTTCCGAAGGAACTCGGCTTTCACCATGAAGCGTCATAATTCTTCTAAATGAAGACCTTCTAACTCCCAGGGCAGAGTTAAAATGGTTTGGATTATTTTTTCTGGTAAGCGTTTTTTTAGCGAGTTAGTTTTCTACGGGATGGGGACGCTAACCCCATGCCCAACCCTCCTCCTTTACCCGGGCTTGGGACCGGCAGCAACCCTATAAGAGCTACAGGCGGCAAATGAGAGGGAAGGAACTACAAAGTATGAGACTACGTCTAGAAAACAAAAAAATATAAATACATATGCCCGTCGTAATAGTACACATATAGGCAACAACTAATCACGTTTCGTACTGACAAGAAATGTTACTAAGAAAACAATCGGATGACACTTCTTTCTAGACTACATGTTAATGACATTTTTTGGAGACATCACAAAATGTTTTACAATTAAAGTATACAATCATATAATTTTCGAGTATAACTGTAAAAATATGAACATTTTTTAATACAGAATAGGACTAAAAATATCATTCGTCACAGTTCATACGAGCAGTTTTGATCAGTAAGATGTGTCATCAGTCCGAACTAATTCAAAGAGAAAAAATGGTCCTCACTAAGCTATATTGATCTATGTAATCTATGCACAGTAGAACAGTTTGCCTCGGCTTTGACACCGATGATTCAGATGTACTACGATAATGAGACTAGTCAATTTATATCAGATCCAGGACTCATAAACCAGACTAAAGAACTAGATCAACATTAGATAATACTTTATTCAATACAGTTACAAACAGTCAAACTCAGTCCGAAGAGGAAAGAAAATCAAGGTCTTCATAATCTAGTCAACCATCGGGAAAAAGAGGAAGGGGGAGAGTAGGCAGGCTTATCTAACCCCAGTCCCCACTTGAGGTGCATCTTTCAGGTGTCTTCCATGCACAACTTTGCACTGTAGTTCGGCCTCAACATACACAAAAGGAAAAATCAACATCCTCAAATACAACACGGAGAACACCAATCCAATCACACTTGGTGAAGAAGCCCTGAAAGATGGAGGATCTTTTACTTACCTGCCTGGACATCATCATCGATGGACGTGGAGGATCTGATGCAGACGTAATGACGAGGATTGACAAAGCAAGGGATACAATCCTACAATGGAAGAACATATGGAACTCAAAACAATTGTCAATTAATATCAAACTCACAATCCTCAATATGAAAGCCGACATAGTTCTATTGTACAGTGCTGGAACTTGCGGAACTATCACGACCATCATCAAAATGGTACAAGTATTTATAGACAGTTATCTACATGAGATACCCAATGTGCGTTGACCGAATATCACAAGTAACAGCCTACTGTGGGAGAGAACAAATCAGCTTCCAACTGAGGAGGAAGTTGGGAAAAGACTTTGGAAGTGGATAAGACATACATTACGGGAATCACTAAACTGCATCTCGAGGCAAACACTAACTTGTAATGCTGAAGGGAAACGGAAAAGTGAAAGGCCTAAGAACATAATACGTCAGGAATTGGAAGCAGATAAAAAAGTATTAATGGGAAGTGGAAAGAACTGGAAAGGATTACCCTGGACAGAGTTGGATGGAGAATGCTGTTTGGTGGCCTACACTCTTCCACGAGGGGTAACGAGTGTAAGTCTAGGTGTCTTTTTTCACGCTCAATGAACAATCGCATTTTAGTCTCACTACTACTCATCACAATCAAATAGACATTTAAATGTTTTAATTCTCTCAGCTTACTTTTTTCGACTTTATATCTCACTTCACATCTTTTCATCCAGGTACTTTATACGATGAAGTCATTAACATTTTAGTGTATAAATTATATTCATATTTTTTTAAGGTGAAGTGATCTCAAGGAAAGTTTGGATCTCAGATAATCTTGACAAAGAATTAAAAGAATGGAATTTTGACCAAATTGTACAAGATACATTTAAGGATATATTAAAACAAAGTACGTAGATGGTTGTTATTGTTGTTGTTGTTGTTGTTGTTGTTTTCTTTGCATTAATTCAGTCGTATGCTTTCAAAGTATGATTGTTTACATAATAATAATACAAAATATATCAACCTATTTCATAAATTTTAAAGAAAAAAAAGCACACATCCAATTCAGTTGATTTTGAAATACTGTTGACTGATGAAAATAATCATAACATTTATATCAATCCGTTAGTCAGCTATAGACAAATTCAAACCTTGTACAAATATATGTACCAGTATATGGTTATGGAGATTGTTGAGTTTCAATTGATATCATGAATGGATCAATGTTAGACCAACACCGTTTGCAATGAAGCAAGTTCATTCACTCTTAGTGTTCTCTTAAATTGTAATCTCCTGAATTCTCCTTGTCTCAGTTTTTTCTCTTTCCAAATTTATTTCACTGGATTATACTTCTTGAATAACATCTTCAAACCCTAATACTTCCGATTACTGCTTATAATCTTACTACATCTACCACTACGGGATTTGAATCGACAACTGTATCTGTGTGTTAATATGATGTGGCAACTCGAACTGATATACGTACGTACGAAATTCTACGTTGTTACTGACTGACTGACTGACTGGAAACCACCATTGAAAACTTTGAAACACTGAATGGTCCTTCCGTCCTAGTACTGAACTCCTCAGCAACATTTGAGTATGAAACAGCCGTCCAGTTTTTCTAAGTCTTCAATGATGGTCTAACACTCATCCATGAAAAATATGTATCGGTCCAAGTTTTTGTGGTTCATACTACTATAAAGAAACGACAAGAAAAAGATAATAGTTGAAATATCAATATCAACGATAGTAATGAACATGATGAGTAAAACATTTAATAACAAATAAAATAATGAAATTATTTTAATAGTTGAATTCATGAGTACATGTAAGCTAGATCACCATCGAAAACCCGGAAGCTGTGGACAACCGTTTTGTCCTAGTATTGAGCTCCTCAGCAGTGCGCATTCACGATCCTACGTGCAGGACTCGAACCTAGGACCTCCAGTCCAACGGTGTTAAGTTCAATATAACTTCAATCATTTTAAATAATCTTAAGAGATATTAATATTTTCTGTGATTATTACTGATAAAAGTGTGGGTAGTATAGTGTAAAGACATTGGATGCTGACCACATTAGTTTTAATGGACTCACCGAGCTGAAGGCGCTCGGTCATGCATTCGCACCAGTTCACGAGTGGGAACGCCAGTCTAAATCAGTCAATCCTCTATATATTGATAGCCTATCAAATATATCTTCGAACCTATTCACTTATGTATTTTGACTTCACTTGGTTAGTGCGATTCATAGTAGAAAATGTTACTGGTTAAAGCGTTGTCAAACTCCAAGTACCTGTGACATCTTCAGTATGTTAATTGTTCTTATTAGTAAACAAAATGATTATGAATGACAGCATAAAATAAATATATCAAAGAGCTTACACAAATTTATTATCTTTCTAATTTTGATGTTGTAAATGTTAAATCCATGAGACTATAATTTATGGATGACCTTTAAGAGTGACTTTGAGAATGTTCACCAACTAACTAAGACTAAATGAAGGTTATAAACCAGGGTGAAGAACTAGAATTACGATTTACAGTTGATAGTTAGAATTAGGAATTAGATTTATGGTTTTCGTCATGAACTGACATCAGCCAAAATGATATTTTACCAAATGGATGAATGAATTTCGCACCAAAATTCAAAACCTGTTATCTTATATCTGATTGGTTTGTTCATAAATTATAGTCTTGCTGTTAAATCAGTACAAAATAATCTATGTTAAATGGTTATAAAAGTAAAACATTCAGTTTGTTTGTACGTATTTTGTTATCAGTATTTTAGTTATGTATAATTTCTTTGTTTCGAACTATAGTGAATTAATCTTGAAGGAAACTATAATTTATAATAGAAGTAATTCTTATTATCCATGACTAATATTAGAATGAATAAAATATATTAGTTATATAATGAAGTCTGAACAGGTTACTAAGGGATATAGTAGATTCGTTCTAATTGGTTAGCTATAGAAACTTATCATATTCTTCATCTGTACACAAAAATTGTTTGATCTTTAGGATCTTGTATTTATTCTAATAAATAAATTCATGTATCAATATTATTAGAGATCTATGATGATTAGAAGTATTTGAATGATTATCAGTCAGTCAGTCAGCTACAACGTAGGACCAGGTACATATATACATCGGTCCATGTTGCCACACCTCATTAACACAACAAGATGAACACCAAATTCATAGAAGTAGTTACTTCAATGGTATTAAGGATATTATACAGGAAGAAAGAATTAGAAAGAAAGGTATAAAGTAATTTTAATCTAACAGTTTAAGGGGAAACAAATAGTGTATACACCTACGCCATTGTGATCGATTCTGAGCCATTTCACCTAAAGTCTCTAACCATTGGTTATGATAGTTACGCGGACCCTAATCAAGTAGTCTGCATCGACCAACATGGCTCAGACTAGAAGTTGGTCTACTTCAAGGAATAATGTCAAATTTCGATTTGACTTTATCTAACTTTCTTCTATCCATCTCCAACACTAATCAGTATTGCACGTTTTGAGTATATAAACTAAGGATCCTACAAATAACACAATTTAAACAAAAGAGTACTAGATAAACATAAATGAATGTATTGTATTTGAAATTTGAAATCAAGCCAATATCAAGTGTTATATTTCTCTCTTATTACAACCCAGCTATTCCTATTGCTTAGTATTCTCGGACACCAATTCACTCGACAAGTCTCCAAATCAGAACACTGTTGAACAGGAAAGAGACTATATTCCAAATAACAAGGTTATATGGAAGTAAGAAGCATAATAGGAAAAACGTTAGTATATTTATAGTTTTTACATGAGATAATTCTAGAGTGTTCTCCAAGTATCGACTAGCGCTGATTGGACAAGAATTAGTCCATCAGCGTGCACCAACACAATCATGTATTCAGCATGCTTTAATCCAATCTATGTCCCAAAAAAATCAAGTATAAAATAATCATTATTTCATACAAATACCACAAGATCATATATTCGTAACTAAAATAAAAAGAATAGAAAGAAGAAGAAGAAGAAAAAGAAAAGAAGTGAAGACGAAAAGACTTTTTTTAATAGTCGTACTAGTTTCACTGTGGGGAAAAAGATGTCTCATTTGAACTGGGTTTTTTATTTTCCATTTCAGAACCAAATAATACCAAGAATATCAAGAATAATAATAGTAATAATAATGGATACAATAAAACTGATATTATTACAGAAAATCATATAGAATATGAAGATTATTAGAACAATATTTTACAAAGAAAATGGATTGTTTTAATTATCTATCTATTTATCTATACATATATATAGTGGGATATGTTCAATTTCAATATTCAATAATTATCATTACTGATTTTATAATCTGTTAATTGTTTTCATTTTCTTGTAAAATCATTATTAGTACTATTCCCATTATTATTATTATTATTATTATTATTATTATTATTATTATTATTACTATTGACCTTTATGTTTACAAACTTCATAATAGAAAATATATAGAAGACAATATTTAAATAAATAAATAAATTATTCAATTACAATTAATATGTTAATAAAAATTATAAAATCACTTGTTTTCTGATGATATTTTCTTAAAGATCAGTTTGTAGTGATTTAGTTCCAAGATAATTTCTTAAATATCCCATATAATAATGATCATTCTAACAACTGTTATTGTATAAATCCCAATAGTGTATAAATTTTAGTAAGTAACACAAAGTATCGACTACTATTTAGCAGATAATAAAATTACAAGCATACAAAACGGATTTGAACAGAAAAGCTAATTCGTATGAGGAATCATGTATAGAGGTGGATTTAGAGTTAAATCGTAATCGGATCGAAGCGAAGAAAAGTAATTAGTAAGATTCAAGCATATATATATATATGGAGAAGTGGATGATCCATTGGGCGATATTTGAGGGTTGAAATTAATTGCACAGTTATTGTGTTTCCCTATCACCCACTGATTAGAACTTATAGGGTGTGATAAAAAAATTTTAGGAATTGGTGATTGGTAAACTTGTTTTTGCAAGTGTGTGTTCAAGTGATAATGAACAAACATGATGTCACCTATAATAATTTTTTTCTTAATTAGCTGTAAAATGTGCATCTTTGTAATTTGATTAGTTGAAATCGAAATAGCATCAAGTACTTTGATTGGATGTGAGAATTTGCATTTTTACATTTGAATTTTATTTTGATTAAATAATTCTGTTTGATTGTCTCTTCCATTTCACTGCCCTACTATAGTCCTTTCAGTGTATGTATATCAGGATAAAGTTTTTTTCGATCAAATACATTTGGAATTGAAGGCCTTAGTTATCGTGACAATAGTAATTATATGCATTATCATTAAAACAAAATTTGGGAAAAACTGACCACTGGTTTTAATAGTTGATATTAGTGATTACTGTAGTTGAAAGGTAGTCAAATACCCTAACCATCAAATGTAAATCATAATTCTAATTTCTCACACAGGTTCATAATGCTCATTTGACCCCGGTTATTAAGTGAACACTCTCAAGGTCAGTTTAGCATCCTTTAAAGGTCGTTTATAAATTATAGTCTCACCAAAAAATTATCACCTAAGTATTCACATTAGTTTGTTTTTTAACACATGGTATGTTATTTTGATAAACGTTATATGCGTGCGTGTCAACATATCAATAAATCATGATAAAATAATGAATAAGGAATATATAAATCACGCTAACCGAAAACAATCAATAAATTAAGCAACTTCTACTCTGTCTCAAAAAAGTAATAATTTTTCAGAAAGAAAAGAAAATGTGCTCTGTCATCAAGTCCTGACATTTTATATCATTTTTAAGAAATAAGTGATCAATTATAACGAATTTAAAACTAGCCATTTCATTGGACGAAACGGACTGAAAACTTTTTGATTGAGATCGTGAACTGATTGATGTTAGACCACCGTTGGAAACCTGGAAGCACTGAACGACCGTTTCGTCCTATTGTGGAATTCCTCAGAAGTGCGCATCCACGATCCCACTCGCGGGATCCTAACCCAAGACCTTGGGTTTCGCGCGCGAACAGATATCTAGACCAATGAGTTGGAATGCAATAGTGTTAATTTCTAACTTCAACCAATCCAAAACGTTGAGCAAACATCTCTCATTGTCTTCGTTGGGGAACTGCCACACTTGATTTGCAAACTTCATTGATCTAACCTGAAAAGTCACCAGTAAAAAATACTGGAAAATGGGATGATATTCATATTTGAGCAACTAACATTTTAGATAAAGAGATATGTGCGCAGGTTGTCACATGTGATCAAGCATACATGTTTATGCAGAAGTAATAATAAACATAATAAGACAAAGAAATAGACAAATTGTTACTGTTCTAATAACATTGTTAAATAACTGAAATGAAGGGTTTTACAAAATTAACTGTAGACAAACTTAATTGTAGGAGAGGTGCTATAAGTTGATATATTCTGATATGTTAAACCGAACATCTCATTCAAAATTTGTAGTGTCGGTTGATATGTTAAGCCCACATATGTGTGTACATTTCTTATCCTATTCATCGCATGTCTGTAACTTATTTTTGTGTGAATATAAACATTGATTAACGCTTGACTAAAGGGAGTTGGCTCACAGGCCTTTTCCAGTGCGCGTCATTTCGTTTCGCTTTCTTCGCTTCATTCCCTGATTGCCTGTCCAAATCAATGAATGCATGAATTCTACATATTCAAAATCTATCCTCGTATTTGACTTATTTAATTCCGTCATTGACTAATGCGACCTAAGTCGATAATTATATACGAGAATAATCAGAATGTATGTTACCAATAACAATCATCCATACGATATTATGGGACTCAGATAGTGGGCCACTAAAAGTTCCTATGATTATGTAATGATTGGTTGGACACAAAACTATTTTAGTAAATTCTCTACATGATCTGAAATGATTAAGCTATGTCGAAATCTAATAGTTTTTTCTACTAGTGATCATCAGTTATTGTATTATCGTATACTAGCAGATTTTACCCAGCAACAGATATTACATCGTAACACAACATTTTCGCGACAGTCTACACAATATCTAGCAGTTACTTAATTACCGCAGTTATAAGTAAATGAGCTTCTAAGTCATCTCATTTATTGTTGATGCCTTATTATAACGTCTTCATGAAATTAGCCGTCGAAATCAAGAACAAGCAAAGCGCAACAGTTAATTAAACGCCATGGACTGGCGGACTCAGTGGTGGTGACAGTATTCTGTTCCTTGTACCTACTCTTACCAACATATTCCTGTGATAACATCGTTTGTGTTATACGGTCATCAAAGTAATCATGGTATCTGGATACGACGGAAAGGAGATCCAACATAGGTAAAAGCCGTGAGGTGTAACTCTGACGTCAACTTGTTGTTCACAACATTTCCGTTTAACTCGAGTAGGCCCCAACTCATTCGACACAGATCATCTACTTTGGTAATTTATAAGGTTGCCTATTACTGACTTGCTGGATATTGAATAATTATTTCGGTGTTAATATATCTATTTTTGCCAATCCAGAACATACGATTTGGAGAAACGCTGCCATGGAGATCGAAAACTGAGGTAAAGTCACTTACATCCATAGTTTCGTTTCGTGCATCATGTAGTAAATTAAAATGGTTCAAATGGTTGTGGACGGAATAGAAGCTTTCGCTTAACGGGCTTCCGTGTCTAGTAGCAAGGGATCATCGAATCCTCCAGGCAGGAACCTAGGTATGTTAACAATAAAAGAGGAAAAGAAATTAGTAAATCATAGTGTGATACTGTCCTTAGTCCTTAAGAATAGATCAAGTTGCCTCTTAAAGGACTCCTGGGAAGTCGCTCGGCCGGCAGCGAATTCCAGCATTTGACAACCCTTAAGGAGTAGAAGTTGTGTCTATAGTCCGTTCTGCTATGTTGTGTCTCCAGTTTTTGGGTGTTATTTCTTAGGTTAGTGTTGGAACTAAGCTTACGCAGGTGTTTGAGAGGATGTCCAGAAGTGTTTAGGATACTATAAGCCATCAGAAGGTCACCTCTAAGACGTCTATACTCTAATGGGTAAAGGTTAAGTGAATGGAGGCGCTCTTCGTAAGGTTTAATTTTGAGTCCTCGAACTGATTTCGTGGCTCGCTGTTGGATACGCTCCAGGGTGTCCTTACTGGTACTGTATTAGAGCACGTAGTGTCAGCAACTTCTGTTGATGGATTTAAAATCAAGTATGTTCTTCCCAGTAACATATTTCGATAACTAAAACGATCCAATCAACCTCCTATCTTCACCTCTGTGAATCGAAAATCCAATAACCGACCTGAATGGATTGATCCACAAGAATGTAACGAATCATTTCAAGCCAGACGTTCTACAAAACGATTGTGAAAAGGTGCAGATGTCATATTTATAAGTTAATACATACACACGAATATTTTGGAATGGTTATTGTTACATGCAAATTCATCCTAACGTATGTGGCTGGCTCGAAGGCGTTTGTTTGAAGGTTAACGCTAACCCGTTGTTATATGGTAACTCATGTCTCCAATAATTTGAAGCCGTACATTGCCAACTGCTAATTTCAGTTATAATATTGCCTAAATCTCACTCTTGCGTTATTTAGAGTTTTCATCATTTGTTATCATCACTAGATGTAAGTGCATCTTGTGTACTTACTTTTTTGTGTAGTTTATTTTTTCGTCCACGGTGCCTATATGAATAAACAACGGTTGTGTACGGTCGGTTTACAGCTAATTTCATGGAGACGTTGTAATTAGGCATCAACAATAAATGAGATCACTTAGAAGTTCATTTACTTATAACTGCGGTAATTAAGTAACTGCTAGATATTGTGTAGACTGTCGCGAAAATGTGTTACGATGTAATATCTGTTGCTGGGTAAAATCTGCTAGTACGGTGGCCTTTATTCACTCGAACTTGTCTGACACTAAGACGAGTTATGGTAACTTAAAACTGGATACTAAGACCATCAGTAACGCTACTACGATTATTCCAATTTTACGGGAGTATGTGCTCATGGTACCACAAAGTACACAGACGAATGATGGGGATATCGACGTCTGTCTAATACTTGCTTACATGCTTCGTATCGTTGTTCATAGGCGACATTCTGTAAGCCAAACCACGGGAGTACAAACCAATGTACAGAACTAATATAGTCGAAGCTAGAAGAATTTTTGCGATCATATCATGGCCTCAAATGTCCACTGTTACGGAGTCACACAAATGAGTTCTTTAACTTATGCAATGGAGGTTCAGAACTGCAGAGCTTTTTCCTAACCGTGAAAAATTTCGAAACCATTTTAGAAAGTGTCCGTCCTGATTTTCGGGTTTCGTATGATTTGTTCTTACGGCAAGCCAAATTTTTTCTGCCTGGCTGGAATTTTTCAAGGCTACCTGGG